GCCTCTGTTGTGGGGAAGCCCAAACCCTCTCCCCAGTGTGCTGAGTTGGCCCAGAAGTTGCTCTTGGTACTCACTTCTTGCCGTAGTGACACCCCAGCCAGCAATCCAGCAGTTGTGCAGGGCTGAGACTATTAGGTTGGGGTCAGCCAAACAGGCCAGCTGGATGTAGGAGCTGCACAGGACAGGACGGTCCAATTGCATCAGGGCAATGTCGTAGCTGTAGTCGCTACGCCTGTAGTCACTGTGTATCACCACCTGCTTGACGCTGCGCACTTGTGCCCCAGGGCCTGGCCGAGTCAACTGCGTGGCCCCAATCACCACGTACAGCAGGCTGATGTTACTGCAAAGGAGATGGAGAGAGGGCTGAGAGGGAGTCACAGCAGCCCTGCAGTTGTCTCTGCTTGCAAGGCAGAGATGGGGCAGTGCTCTGGCAGGTGTGAGTGCCCTTGCACGCCTTAGGCTGGGGGAATGTCAAGCTGGAGGCTGCTAGGAAGCCTTGGCATGAGCCCAGGCTTCTCCTGAGCAGTGTGGCAGCCTGGCTGCCTGAGAGGAAAGGGGATGGGAACAGCAGGTGGTGCTGCTGACAGGGCACCTGCTGGAGCTGTGGGGATGTCCCAATTCCCTGCTCCTCCTTACTCAAACTTGTCGAAGCAGTGGGCTGCTGTGAGGACCCAATCTGCAGTGATGAGGGACCCTCCACACCAGTGTCCGAGGCCTGGTACCCAGGGGTGCTGGATGCTGACGATCCAGGGCCATTCTGCTTCCGCAGCACCTGTGCCACCCACAATGCGTGTCATGCCGTAGTCATAAGCCATGTTGCCATAGGAATAAGTCATGGGGCTGTTGACAGGTGGCGGAACTCGGAGCCCACAGCTCCCTCTGCAAGCAGAAAATAATTTCCGTGCTGCTTTGTGGCCTGCTGTGTCTCAGGCTGAAGCTCAGCCCTCTGCCCTCCCCACAAGGGCTTGCACGCCCTGCAGGCCAGGGAAGCCCATGGGGTGTGCGTCTGTCCCTGCAGCACCTGGCTGCTGGCAAGGAGCTGAGGCTCCCCATGGTGGGTGGGAAGCTGTCCCCGGCCATGGGGGACAGG